AAAAACAAAGGCAACTAGGATTCACTCAGCTCTTGAAACTCAAACAAGATGTTCGTACACGATGGAACAGCACACTAATAATGTTGGAAAGATTAGTGAAATTAAAAGAGCCCCTCACAGTGACAATGATATCAATTAAAGAGGCTCCTTCAAACCTTACACCCGAAGAATGGGTCATTATTAAAGATATAGTACCCCTATTGCGACCATTTAACAGCTTAACAATAGAGTTGTCTGCTGAACAGTATCCTACAATATCAAAAGTTATACCATTATTACGAAGTAATTAATAATTTACTTTAAAAGTTAGATTTAATTTATACTGTATTCATTATTTTATATTTAGGACTGCAAACTTTATTAAATTCTAAAATTCCAAAAACACCTCTTGAAAGATTTATAAACTCAAATTTAACATTACAAATTAATAGGCGTTTTGAAGGGATTGAAAAACAATCCCTAACTCCATATTTTTCTCGTGCCACTCTCTTTGACCCAAGATGCAAAAAAGCTGCTTTTGCAGTTGAGGAAAATGCTTCTGATGCCGAGAAAAGTATTGTTTCGGAAGTAGCAAGTATGACAAATAATACATTAGAAGATACTGGTAAATATTTAATTGATATGTAAATACTTAATAAATATAAGTGACCAATGACCATTACTGTTCTATTAAATTTTTCATTTACATCATACTTATTTTAATTTTAGAACGTGAAGTTCCTACAGACCAAATTGAGGAGGACTCTGAAAATCTTTGGAACTTTTTACAGAGTAGAGTTAGTAACGTGCAGGGTCAAACAACATCAACTAGCAGTGCTATGAGTTTGATGAGACAATATTTAAACATGCCTTATCAAAATTTAAATTGTAATGTGGCCGAATGGTGGCTTAACCATAAATCTGTATTGCATTCTCTGAGCGAAATTGCATTAAAGTATACCATGATTCCAGCGACATCTGTTCCTTCCGAAAGAATCTTCTCTAAAACAGGACAAATAATGAGTGCTAGAAGAAATAGACTATTACCAGATAATCTAGACACTCTAATTTTTTTACATAAAAATATGTAGTTTTTAATTTTTCTTTAAATTTTTAAAAATATAACTATCCAAAAATTATTAAAATAAAAATTATAATTTAATAAAATATTTTAAATTGATATATTTTTTGTATTATTATTTTCAGATTTCCAACTGGTTTGGAGACACATCAACCAACTTATCCAACTGGTTTGGAGTTTAGAGAAATGTCAACCACCTTATACAAGTATCCAACTGGTTTGGAGACACATTAACTGAATGTACTCTGGAGATATGCGTTATACAATTCAATTCAAAGAAACTTAATATTTTATTAAATCAAGGCTGGGCAAGTTTACTTTAAGTTAAAAGTTACCTCTATTTTTTTTAACTCACAAAAGTTACAAGTTAATTAGAAAATAAAAGTAACTTAACTTAGTTAAAAGTAACTAAACTTTAACTTATTAACTCGTTAATGCCCAGCCTTGTATTAAATAACAAAATAGTTTATGAAATCATACTTTGTTTGATTATTAATCTGTTGTTTTTCAGGAAATTTAACAAAACAAGATAATAAAATAACAAGATATTAACAGTATACAAAACAAAATTACTATATTACATTATAAGTTATAACACAATTTCTTAAATAGAACAAAA